ACAACATTAGACATAACATAATGTTTTAGATTTAAAGAAATAAATTGTAAGAGGTACTTACAATTTCTTGTCCTAATATAACATAACCTTGGTTTGAGGATATGGTGTAACACCATAGCTTGTAATAAAAAGGCTAGGAATTCAACTTTTTCAATTAATTCAATTAACTGTATCTTTGCACAGTTTGGTGGCATAAAAAAGTTTTATAAATTTTATATTAAATTTATTGAACATGAAGAGCTAGATCTCTTCAGCACAACACTTCACTCCCCATATAAGCCGTAATATATAGATTAACCTATCACTTTTGTATATTCCACACAAATCCACTTTCTTTGAACAAATAATAATTATTCGTGATATCGATAATGTTTAGTTAAATGCTGATCAGTTTGAATTTCGCGCACTATGACATCTTTAATTTTGTGACGAAGCATGTGCTCGGGACGAAACGGTTAACGAGCACTCGTCAACGAATCAACCTTTTGCACTCGACTGTCCTCGTTAGCGATAACGGACAATAAAATTATTCCACCACATTATTCTGAAGAAACACTAATTCTAATAAAATTAAATTCCATAAAAAGTGATATGGAACATTGAAAATATTGAAATAATTTTGCACTTGTCATGTAATTCCACAACAAACTGTACCAACCATGCCAAGTAATTGTAGCAACACACACACAACAAGAAAAATAACTTTTTGGGATTGAAATATAGTCTGTCCGACAGAGAAACACCATGCGTGGGAAGCAACATTTCATTCGAAACATATATACAATTCAAACCGCTAAGCATGTTGAAAATTTCTTTTTTAAACTATATACTACAGTGAAAAAAATATTAAAAACGATATATTTTTATAAACATGTATTCTTCAATATCTACAAACTCATATAAATCAAATTTTATTATAATTCCATGGTTCTTTATAATAATCAAAAGTGGCGACGAGTTGCAGTAGAATTCGAAACGATGTAGAATGCAAAAGGTTTTTGGCTTGCACCGAATATTCGGTTACTATTCGGTGTTCGGCACCTTTTTTATTATTCGGCCGAATACCGAATAGTAACTTACTATTCGGGCGAATAGTTAAAATCAAAGGCGCCGCCGCCGCTCAGCAGCAGTATTGTTGGTGTTTTATCTTTTATGCGATAAAGAGCAATGAATCAGTATTTAGTTTAATATAATATGATATAACGAAATTCGTTATTGTATACATAATCATTTAAACTTTATCGATGTTTGACATTATATTCACAAAATACTTTATTGTTACATGTTTAGATTATTTAACCCCTTAACTTACAATTTAGATTCGAAAATGTCGGTCCAAAGTTGTTCAAGCTGGCGCGGCGTTGTGACTATTTTTCCTCATATCGTACGGTTTATCACAAAAATAAAAATAATTTTGAGTTTTATAGTTTTGTATGAATAAATATTTTACAATACTTACGCCCACCATACCGGGCCATGCCCGAAATGCGTAATATTTGCTTCTGGCCCGAATATCGTACGCGGGCTATGCCCGTAATATTCACTTTTGGCCTAGATATCGCTCGCGGGCTGGCTCTGCTCGTCATTTTAAGTTAAAGGGTTAAACGCATGTGTTGTATCAATACAATAAAGTCATTTATTATACGAAATCTAACCATTTCCAAATAAAGAGCTATTATTTTCTCTTCATCGCAAAATATACAAACAATATTTTTGATCATTTTATATTTATTTTGTTATTATTAGCATTCCCAATATATAAGAAATAATATTGTGTTTATAAAAAAAAATGTTGAATGTTTATAAAAGAAATAATTAGAAATACATTTACATATATGTAGAGAATCGCTTTTTTATAACTTTACCATTTATTTCTCCATCACATGTGGTATTCAAGTGTTCGGTGTTCGGTGTTCGGTGTTCGGTGTTCGGTATTCGGCCGAAGAGTATAAATGGTGCCAAATATTCAAATAACAAAGATTAACAGAATAGTGGTTACAAGTCTAGGCATAAAACTTGAATAAATTGTAGTGCTATCCACCCCTTTGTAATAATTATAAATTATATTATAAATTCTATATAACAGTCAATATGAAAGACGCAGTATATACGTTGTTGACTCACAGCTTATAGCCTTGCAACATTGTATGCAAAGATAAACACCCACGTGCAAGTCAGTAACGGTTCCTTCGACGACAAAACCACAAACTGCGTCTCAAATAAATAAGAATGAATCATTCCTAACGAACATTTCTAGAAGGATGGTTACGTCATCATCAGAGATTATAAAAGCCTGAGGATGACGAAACCAGCGTTCATTCCTAATCTAGTTTTCAATCACTTCACATCAGTCTTCACTTCAATATATTAATTGTGTATTAAGTTGTAATCAAGTGTAACCGAATAATGAAGTAAATAAAGTTAATAAACGTCTTCAAATGTTTAATTAAATATTTTCACAGTGATAAAAGCTTAATGTTAGCAGCAGAAGAACCTAAATATAAATGTTGACGTCGTTGGCGTGACGCAACATAATTGTTGGCAACGGCGAATCCACAACATTTGGTACCAGTGTTGGGATCTCAACATATTTGTTGTTAGCTCAAGGGTGCACAACATTATTTGGTGGCAGCGGTGGGATAATAATGTTGTGCACCCTGGAGCTAACGAAATTCGTTATTGTATACATAATCATTTAAACTTTATCGATGTTTGACATTATATTCACAAAATACTTTATTGTTACATGTTTAGATTATTTAACCCCTTAACTTACAATTTAGATTCGAAAATGTCGGTCCAAAGTTGTTCAAGCTGGCGCGGCGTTGTGACTATTTTTCCTCATATCGTACGGTTTATCACAAAAATAAAAATAATTTTGAGTTTTATAGTTTTGTATGAATAAATATTTTACAATACTTACGCCCACCATACCGGGCCATGCCCGAAATGCGTAATATTTGCTTCTGGCCCGAATATCGTACGCGGGCTATGCCCGTAATATTCACTTTTGGCCTAGATATCGCTCGCGGGCTGGCTCTGCTCGTCATTTTAAGTTAAAGGGTTAAACGCATGTGTTGTATCAATACAATAAAGTCATTTATTATACGAAATCTAACCATTTCCAAATAAAGAGCTATTATTTTCTCTTCATCGCAAAATATACAAACAATATTTTTGATCATTTTATATTTATTTTGTTATTATTAGCATTCCCAATATATAAGAAATAATATTGTGTTTATAAAAAAAAATGTTGAATGTTTATAAAAGAAATAATTAGAAATACATTTACATATATGTAGAGAATCGCTTTTTTATAACTTTACCATTTATTTCTCCATCACATGTGGTATTCAAGTGTTCGGTGTTCGGTGTTCGGTGTTCGGTGTTCGGTGTTCGGTATTCGGCCGAAGAGTATAAATGGTGCCAAATATTCAAATAACAAAGATTAACAGAATAGTGGTTACAAGTCTAGGCATAAAACTTGAATAAATTGTAGTGCTATCCACCCCTTTGTAATAATTATAAATTATATTATAAATTCTATATAACAGTCAATATGAAAGACGCAGTATATACGTTGTTGACTCACAGCTTATAGCCTTGCAACATTGTATGCAAAGATAAACACCCACGTGCAAGTCAGTAACGGTTCCTTCGACGACAAAACCACAAACTGCGTCTCAAATAAATAAGAATGAATCATTCCTAACGAACATTTCTAGAAGGATGGTTACGTCATCATCAGAGATTATAAAAGCCTGAGGATGACGAAACCAGCGTTCATTCCTAATCTAGTTTTCAATCACTTCACATCAGTCTTCACTTCAATATATTAATTGTGTATTAAGTTGTAATCAAGTGTAACCGAATAATGAAGTAAATAAAGTTAATAAACGTCTTCAAATGTTTAATTAAATATTTTCACAGTGATTTCTCAACATATTTGTTGTTAGCTCCAGGGTGCACAACATTATTATCCCACCGCTGCCACCAAATAATGTTGTGCACCCTTGAGCTAACAACAAATATGCTGAGATCCCAACACTGGTACCAAATGTTGTGGATTCGCCGTTGCCAACAATTATGTTGCGTCACGCCAACGACGTCAACATTTATATTTAGGTTCTTCTGCTGCTAACATTAAGCTTTTATCACTGTGAAAATATTTAATTAAACATTTGAAGACGTTTATTAACTTTATTTATTTCATTATTCGGTTACACTTGATTACAACTTAATACACAATTAATATATTGAAGTGAAGACTGATGTGAAGTGATTGAAAACTAGATTAGAAATGAACGCTGGTTTCGTCATCCTCAGGCTTTTATAATCTCTGATGATGACGTAACCATCCTTCTAGAAATGTTCGTTAGGAATGATTCATTCTTATTTATTCGAGACGCAGTTTGTGGTTTTGTCGTCGAAGAATCCGTTACTGACTTGCACGTGCGTGTTTATCTTTGCATACAATGTTGCAAGGCTATAAGCTGTGAGTCAACAACGTATATACTGCGTCTTTCATATTGACTGTTATATAGAATTTATAATATAATTTATAATTATTACAAAGGGGTGGATAGCACTACAAAATATGTAACGCGTTGGTAATATAACAATTACATTAATACAAACGAGCTTAGGCGCCAAAAACCTGCCGAATAGTTGCCGAATTCGACATTCGGCATTTTGCCGAATATACTATCGTTGCAAGCCTAGTTAAAATACTATGTAATATAAGGATAAAATTATAATGCAAATTACATTGAAGTTCAATCCACAAAAGGTAATACTAAAGGTGCATCTCACCTAACAAACGAGTATGAAAGAACACGATGAACAAGAAAACGTAAGATGCTCCTCACCTCATGTTTGCTTGTGTTCGTTCGTGTTCGTTGTAGCATCCTCTCTCTATACTCGTTGGCGTTCGTTCTGGTACGTACGTTCTTGCTAGTTTGCGCGCGTTCATGGGCGATCGTTAGGTAAGACGCCCCTTAATGCCTTAAAGCTGGTACTCTTTGGTCTTTATCAATGTGAATGATATCCCCAACCTAATAATAACATAAATTAGTTAGGTCACTACTAATAAAAACATTATGTTATGTAAATTTCTACATAAATAAATGATTAAACTACACACCTTAAGGCTACACGCAGGAACAAGTTCAGTCTGATTGTCAGGACCTTTTAATCTTCTATATCTCTGTGAATTAACTTCTTTATCTCGTCTATGTCTTCTCAAATCATCAATTGCTTCACGAAAAATTGTTACTGTTAAAACGAAACCCTGAAAAACAAATGTTATCAGGGCCTCTATAACACCAGAATTATTTATTAAAATGAATTAAAATTACCAGAGGCCCCAAATACGTATATAAATACCCAATACGAATATCAGGAATGAATTGACTAGTCGCGATTATCAAAAAATATAGATTCAGAAAAAATTTAAATTGTTAAATAAGTTCCTTATTTTGTTTTTTTTTGTCCAAATTTGGACTACATGATATGCACCTAAAACAAACAATAGACGTTATGTAGCAAATGCAATTAAATATTTTAATAAAACCAAACATAATATTTATTAAAAATATTTTATTGCAGGCTTGAAATGTTCACACAGATTGAGATTACGTTATATTGGTACATAGAAGATAAATTACATTTCATATATCAATACAATGTTTTGTTTATAAGTTTTGTTAATAAAATGATCATTAGTATGATATAGTATATATCTAGCAAAAGATTTTATGTTCCAAAGAAAGCCGTACAATGAAAAATCATTTTATTTTATAGATAGAGTGCTTGAAAACTAGACATTTAAATATGGCGCACGCAAGATTTTATTCATTTTGTATAAAACACTGCATCTTACGATTAGAGCCTAGTTTATAAGTATACACATCACTCTATGTATGTGTTTAACTTATGCATATAAAATTTTATATATACCTATATATTATTAACAATCGAATTCATATGAACATTGTTTTATAATTGCAAAATAAAGTATTGTAAAAGCGATAGACATTTAGTTTTCTAAACAAACAACTTGAATCTCGATGTTAATAATATACATACATAAACAATAAATTTACCAAATATAACTAAAGTAAAATCACATTTTCACTAATCATAATATCTTGCTAGGCTGTAATTTTGTTACAATAAATATATGATAAAACACCTGATATCTTTATGGTAATTTGATCTAACTTATAAATGCAGATTTAAATTATCAATATAAATATAAAAAAGCATCTGGAACAAAAATTCACAACTGTATATACAAAAATAATTGTTGTATAATTTATCTGCCTTCGTTTGCTATCAAGTTATATTTGATCAAATAATAAATAATTCAAAATTATGTTATATTTACATCTTGTGCAAAATATCCAAAATTAATTTATACATTATAAGGTATCTAAATAATATGTACAATATACAAAAACCACAATATACAAAAATAAAATTAGTGTTCGAGATGTTAACTAATACTTTACATTGCATAAACAACTTTATGTAAAATTAAATAATAAAAATAGATCAATTTTAGATACATTTTAAACACATAATTCAAAGTAATATCTTACTGTTGCATGGTATTAAGATAAAAATAATTCAACAAAATCGAGTACCAATGCACAAACCAATTGTTCAATAAATGCAATTTCTTACTCCAAATTATATATCAAATAATACTTCTTGCATTAAAAACTATATGCATTTCTAAAAATCAATTCAATTATAATTTAATATCATTAAAATTTAATATCAAATGACACAAATAGTTAAAATGGTGATGCAAGATTCTTGCTAGTTAGCATAATCAAAATTTCAAAAAACACAGCCTTAAAGTAGTCTTTTATTCAATCTCACAACTTTCTGACTAAAACATTCACACACTCAAAAACTTACATCCTCCACTAAATCAACACTTCACTTAAAAATTATTTAGGCTGTGCGGTATAGCAACAGATCAATATATACTCAATGCAGATAATAAGCAAAATATGTTTTGTAAAACCATGGAATGGAATTATGGATGGAAGAGACATGCTTAAAATACAATCCTATTTCTATCCTTTCAATATATAAACTTTCCATCAATATTAACAAAGTAGTCATGGAAATTGATGCAAAAAAATGTGTTTTTGGCACATAGGATCCATATAAAAAAAATCGAGTAGTAACTAATTTCAATCATTTCAATATAAAATATAATTAGATATATTAGCAAATACCTAAAAATAAAAGTGACTGCGACACTTTCTATTTATTTCAAATTAATATCTATTTGTCAGTTGTAAATAAAATATTTATGGAAAGTTTAAATGAAGAAAATAGCTTAATTTTAATTTTTAAAAAACATTTTTGCCGATATTTTAGTCTAAAATTTTCACTAATATTTTATATAGACAATAACTCTATGGTAATAGATTATTACAAAAACAAAATAAACATACAAATTACAGTTTTTTTTAGAAGCGTCTAAATGTTATGTAAGTGACTGTATTTAAAAAATGAGTCTAAATCGTGAAACATGGTGTCAATTCTTTATATATATATTTATATATATAAAATTCAGGTATTGATAAAATCCTAATTTCAGCTGATAATAGTGATACTGCTTCAAACAAATCTTACCTTGACAGCTGCATTCATACCAGCTTTCTTCTAATGCAGACATGAGATTATAAAATAATATCTTCATATGACCTACATAACATTTAAAATAACAACCGCTCCTTTTAACCACAACAACTCATTTCAAATGCATACACATCACAAACAAATACTGTTTTTATCATATTGCTTTCACTTGTTCGCTTTTTAGACCATAACAATAGCTTCCTGGCCACAAAACAAGAATGGAAACTGATCTATCATTGTTTGAAAAATGTCTTCAAGATATGGTCTCATCTGTTCAAAACGCCCCATGTCACTGAATTCGATAGGAAATAAGGTAGGCCACCAACAAATTGCCAAATTCTTGCTATCCATGCTATTTAGTTTAGAGTTATCAGATATCCTGAGAATAAACAATATTTGCTTATGACTGAATTTCATTGATTTAATGAATATTTAGTAAAGATTTTAAAATATTTTTTTAATTATAACAAAATTGTAATTCTTTTAGTTCGCATAAAAACAGATCAATAAGAAAGTTATGTTGTGAATATCTTGTGTAAAGGTAAGCAAATCTGATTTTAAAATAATTTAGAATGTACCTGACAAATGTTGAAATATGAACTTCAGTACAGCAAAATTCACATTTGGTAATTTATTTAGTAATCCTCGTAATGCCAACAATCTACAACTTCTGTCTGTCTTCATTTCCGAGTTCATAGACATTGGCTTAAAACCTCGTGCACCTTTATTAAATATAATATATATTCGTTTTTAAGACACCACAAAATCCTTATATTGATATATAAATATAACTAGTTGTAAGTAGCGCTTTGTCGTAAGACAAGTTGCATGAACTTTCCAATATGTGTACACAATCAACATAATCAATAAGAATTGGAATTCAGTTATTCGGATAAAATATTAAATTGTTTACTTCAAAATAACATTTTCGCTTTCACTAAAAAAATAATCAATATGATTTCCAATTGATGTCTTTCAAACATACATGTAATATTTGCAATTTTATAAATTAAATTAATTTGTATAGCTTCATTTAATCCATTTCATGTATTTTATTTAAGTGTGGTCGTCAATCAACTGTAATCAGTAGATACTTACGAAACACCACAGAACGCACATATGCTTCGGCATAGATTCCAATTAGAACCGCTCGAGCTCACGCAAAATCGTAATGTTTAATGAATTTTTATAAACCAACCGTTTATCGTACTTATAATGTTTAAGGTTATTATTTCAGACTACAAAATCCATACCATTATACAATGTTTTATGAAAAATCGTAAAAAAAATGTTTTTCAGCATTGAATTACGAGGAAAACGGCCAGGCCGCTCTTTACCAAAAAATAATCAACGCAAAATTCCAACCAATATCTTTCGAATAATTTTCAAAATCGATTAAAAATTGTGAGCTATAACGTTGACGAAAAATTTTACACTTTCCTGCTAATTACAAAAAAACGGCTTGGCCGATCGTCGCACAAAACTGATAAACACTTGCCCTTATCGAGTTACATCAAATGGCTTTTAAATTTTTGAAATCAGTCTGGTCGTTTTTGAGAAAACGTCGACGAAAGGACAAAAAACAGCTCACACAAACATACTTCTAAATTTGGCCTCATTCTAGTCAGAATGACTTGAAACGTCGAGAAAACATTTGAAACAACAATTAGCAAATCGAATTTTTTCGCGAAAACAAAGATTTCCTTTTCGAGGTTAATTAAAGCTTATACATAAAACATAAATTGTACCTGCAATATCTTCCAATTCAGCCATTAACTCCTCATCAAGCAGAGGTGGCAAACGTTTGGAGAAGAAATCCTTCAAGGCAGTAGCAACAGCATTCACAGGTATATCTAGGTTACCGATATTTACAGACGAGTCTACAAAGATAACCATAAACACAATTTTAATCCTCAAATACAAATCTTTAAAGTTTTCAAAAAATATTTTAAAATGAGATAATATATTTCAAATTTTTGAATTATAAATAATAAATCTATTATTACATACCTTCTTCAAACTTCTGAAATAGTAAGTCCACATGTGCCCTATTACCTGGCACTCTATAAATTCCTTCAGAGTCTAAACCTTCAGCTTCAATAAAATAAACACATTTTTCAAGAAACATTGGAACACCATTGTCTAAAATAATTAATGACTGAGCACCCGCTGTTGAAGAAGACTTTTGTTGTTGCTTATTTTTCTGCTTCTTCTTTTCACGTTCTTTCTCTTTCTCTGCAACTTTTCGAAGTTTTTCCTCTTTGATACGACGTTTTTCTAATTTTTCATCATCTTTTGCTTTCTGCTTTTCTTTCTTTCGTATCAATTTTTCACGATCGCATTCTTTATTGGCAAACTTGGACCCCAAACCAAACTGTTAAATCATTAGTTAATTAATATTCTTTAAAAGTATTCCTTGTTAGTAAAATAATCATAAACAATATATCTTACCATTGGTGAATTATTGTCCCTTGGTGATGAAACATCTAAACTTGAATCATCTTCTTGCTTGAATCCAAATGAATTTTGCTTATCTAAATAATAATAAAAAAAAATTAATAAATATTATTGTTTTTCATTAAAATATTATAAAGTCTACTAACTTATATAAAACTCATTTGAAAAAGGATGCATGTTACAATTATTGATGAAATTTGTATTTCTTAAGGATTTAATCTCAGATGATATTAATTTTGAGTTGATATCCATATTTAAAATTCCAGCTGTTTTCATATGTTTCTTAATATTAAACTTGCGTTGTTGTGCCATCATACGAATATCGCTTCCTTCACTAGAGTCCGAATTGTATTCACTGGCAGCTATGGAAAGATGAAATAATTTAATAAGCAGTTGCAATGAACACCTTCAACCATACTTTTCAATTACTACATACCTTTATCATTCCCATCCATAGTCAACTTATCATCGCCGGAAGCTGCAACACTTGTAGCCATTGGCGGCAACTCTGGGGGCATCACATACATCCCAAGAGGTGGTACTCGAGGTGGCTGTACTGGTATGGCACTTCGTTTTTTGCGAGCTCGTTTGTGCGTACTTGACTTACGATTTACTTTGCAATAAACTTCAGAAGCTCTTTGGCGACGTTCTAATGAACTCCATTCACTATCCGTGTCAGAGTATGCTGAAAAAATATTATAAGATAAAAATATAACTAGTTAAATATAAGTAGTATTTTGCCTTAAGATAAGTTGCCTGAACTTCCCGATACGTACACGTAATAAACTTAATCGTAGGCCTATAATAGTTTAGTAGTATGTTATTTCAGGCTACGAAAACTATTGCTATACAAGGTTTCATCAAACTCTTCTAAAAGTTTTTTAACTTCTCGTAGGGTAAGTTATAGTAATCACAAAATAATCGAAAATGGAAACTTTTATATATTTTTACGTTTCAAAGGTTTTTGAATATTTTAGCATACCTTAGAAAAAATGTATGTATGTATGTATGTATGTATGTATGTATGTATGTATGTATGTATGTTGTGTGTGTGTGTGGGCGGATACAAATTTTCGTCGACGATTTCGGAAACACCGATCAACCGATTTGAATAATTCAAAAAACATCCGAAAAATGTCATTTGGCGATCAAAAATGATCACTTGATATTTACTTGTATTGACAAGATAAACAACTGATTAAATTTTTGGGAAGGCAGGTCCAGTGGTTATGGACTCTCAATAAAAATGAGTTAAAAAAATGTCATTTAGCGGTCAAATCTTGTTTTTCAAATGATTGATTGAATTGCAAGTTATAATCGTAATTATAATAATTTTAATATGTTTTTGATAACGATCTGATTGATTGATTGACTTGTATGATTATTATCCATTGATGATTTTTTGTTTTCTACCTCAATATACCTGCATGCTTTGATTGGCGCGAACAAATATGTTTATTGAACATATGTACATTAAATTATCAGATATTTTATAGAGATTTTAATAATGTGTACACATTTTATGTAAATTTTTTGGGTTTCGTACCAAGATTTTTAATTACGGTACGGGTAGTTCCAGCAATTTGCCTTAAGGCACAATGCCATGCACCCCACTAGTTTCAATATTTATTTACAAAGAAATGGCCCAGTCAATTTAATCAACACGATTGCAACCAATATATTTTGAACAGTTTTTAAATTTTTTAAATCCATTCAAGATTAAAACATGGTCTCATTCCATTCAGAATTACTTGAAACATTAGAAAACATGAAATTAGCAACTTCACAAACATTCATTCATTCATTCATTCATTAGCAAAAACACAAACTTCTTCTTCGAAAAATTAAAAACTTGAAAATGAATATTAAAAAAAAAAAGATCTGCAACCATCACAATCTTTGTTAGAATACCTCATTTTAGTCATAATGTGTTTCCATAACAGAATCTGTTTTTATGACACAGTTTACAGAATGAAAAATAAGTCAGTTTGTTTGAGAATCACAAAAGTATATCATAAAACTTACATGGTTGTCCTTTCTCTCGCCTTTGTCTGGTTTTACTTTGCTTAAGTTTGTTTGCAAGAGCTTCTTGCTCTAAGGTGAAAGCACACTCACTATCACTGTGCCCATAAGGTGGCATTAATTCTTTAATCTGCAAATTAAATTATACATGAATATTTCAAATTAAAAATTAAGAACAAATACTATATACGACTTTCAATCTCACCTTGGCATACTCAGCTTCCTCATTATCATCTTCTGGAGCAGCTAATGGCGCATGTCCTAAAGTATTCATACCAGTTTGTGCTTTCCCACCATGTGATCCTTTAACATTTCCTGCACCAACATTCATACGTGCAATAGCTTCTGTTACTATTGAAAAATTCTTCAGGTTCAATTTTCCTGGTTGCTATCAACATAAAATAATTTTTAAGCCTTTTATCAAATTTATATATACTTATATGGCATTTACAATAATTCACTAATAGCTATTATGTGGACTATTGTGCAAATAATCCTTAAATAATCTATGAAGATTTGTAATAACAATTTTTGAATAACATGAATTATTTGCTATGCAAATATACCTTCAGTGTTTGGCTGACACCTTTAGGTCTTGATTTTGGAACAGATATACGTCTTCGTCCAGTTGTGAATGCGTGATGGCCACCATACTGTTTAATCCATTGACGAGAGGTACGTTCACCAGTCAGAACAACACCATCTAAAACATTGTATTAGAACAACAATGAAAAATGAAAAAAATATTATATTAGATTGAATAGTATAGTATTATTGTACATATCACTTTAAAATTATATTAAAAAATAACCTGAATCATGAGTAGCTAAGGATTCTCTGGAACCGCTTACGTCAGCTGAAACAAACAAGCATTTCAAATAAAATTGTTCATAAATAATGTACATGCTCTTATTAATATTGTTAATAAAAATTGAAACATACCTATTAATTAAAATATGTATTCAAACAACTAATAATGAGAAATTAACCACACTAAAAACTAAATACTGCATCAAAAACTAAGATTCAAAATTAAAATACATATATAGCTATAATATGATAAAATGTAAAAGCATATTAATAATATATCTGAATATTGAGTATTTTTATAATTGGCTATTCATAAAATACATAATCATGCACATAGTTCATGTTAAATATAATAATAATAATGAGAATAAATTAGTGTTATATCATAACAAGTTACATATGACAATAATGTAAATTAAAATGTTCTCGTTGTATTTTTCAAATATGGCGCATTGACAAATAAAGTATGTGTTTTATATAAGAAACAGCTTTAACAAATATTTAGGACAATAAAATTTTTTTGGGTAGTTATTGTGTATTGCGCTTCAGATTATTGTGTATTGTGCACGGTGAGACATTGATAAAATCCACAAACATTTGAATAAAATGCAAAGGGCTTGTAGCCTATAGATAACGAAAAGACATGGAAAAATAATCTTTATTACATGTGATCTCATCCAAGCTGGTTTGAGAGGCGGTCACGTGTTGCCTGGTGCCGTACTGTTGGTCTGGCGGTGCAGGTTCGGGCGGTGTCGTGGGCGGCGGATACACCTGAAACCCTGCACACACAACGAAACAATGCCAATTCATTCAAAACTAGAACTGGTTTAGCAATTGAATTGCTCTAAAATTTATTTTGGATATGGAATATAATATAATTTAGAATTTAAAAATCATATTACAAAATTTAAATCAACAGAGACATGGTTCAGACCTCACATGCTATTGTAGAATGCAAAGGTAAAATATACAGAATTCAATTCCATTATTTATATTTGCCACATAAACAATGAATACATTTATTGTTAAGGTTGTTTTGATATTTGTCTTTTTCTATAGGCACACATTTATCTATATCTTCCGCATTCTAAAAAAAGCGTGGTCTGAATGATGTCTCAGACAACAGTACTCTAGATCTAGCTACACAAATATATATATAAAGTATTTTACATAGTTTAGTAAGTTTGTAAACATAGTTATTAAAATTGTAACTGTTAATATAGATTAGGTATTTGTAAGGGTAGTGAGTATGAGCATCAGCATATATTTATTGGTACTTTGCAAAGTATTTAATTCTAGATTTTACACAAAACATGCCTAAATGAAGCAATGGGCATAAATGTCAAATTATATAAAATTAAATTAAATATAATTTGATTGAGAAACCATAGGTCTTATAAAACTTAAAAGAAAAAAACAACAATAGACAAGGTCAATATAAAATTGAAATAAAAATGAGTAAGCATTGATAACCAGAGTTTAAAATTGCATGCAACTAAGCATTTATCTGAGTAGATATCGATATCCTAATTACTTTAAATATATCCATATAATTAAGTATATACATACATATATTAGCAAAATGAACAATTAGAATGGAGTTGCACATTAAGCCAGTATAAAATGATTAAACATGCAGTTACCAATATGAAAATAATTAAAACCTTGGTGGTCCTGAATCCTATTAGAATCTCCATTTGTTCTAGAATTATATGGATATTGATGATGTCTCTGGTGCCTGGTGCGCTGTTCCTGGTGCACTGAATGATGATAAGATTGATGATGTCGATGTGATCCTCCTCCAATGTGAGCATATTTATCACTATGGTCACTTGAACTCATTAAATCATCTGGCCCATTTAAGGAGTCCAAAGAAATTATGGGTAAGCGTTCATAATTTTCAGATCCACTTCTGTGTTTGTTTGAAAATAAGGTTGATGTCAGTAGTTTATGACTTACGTTTGTGATGAATGTACAATGTGCACACAAAAATTTTCGATACACATACATAAAAATACATAGAAATATAAACCCAGACATATACAGAGGTACATCGTCTTTGAGTGACCCGACATACAAATGTTTCGAAATACGAGTCGACGATTTTCCAACCATAGAAATATTTTGGCTGTTTAAGATAGTAAATTATTTTATAGTTATTCATTTCAATTATATATTAACATTAATTAATTAATAGTACCCATACAAATATAATAAGGATATTTTAACATTTGATATTTTGGCTTAATAGTGATTGTACAGTTATATAAGTTGAGTTTTTTTTGCTTTTTGCACGTTTACAAAATATTATGTGCATTTATAATATAGCCCAGCATGAAATTATCCAAAAATATGAGAATGACAAGGATGTAACATATCATAGACATGTATGTAAACAAAAATTAAATAAAATAATAGTATATTTATTGAATTTCAACATTGAAAATACATAACTAAAACTACGTCGCTGAATGAACTAATGACATTTCTATGTATTCATATGGAAAAAATTGGTTCGAGATAAGAGCGATTCTATATACGAGCGTGGTTACAAAACAAATTAAACACATATATTGGTGTGCCACTGTATTATATGATATGCAACCAAACAAATATATATCAATATACTAACCCATCATTGCTCTTCATCATATAGCTGTCATTTCTTGCATGCTGGATACTATGATAATGGTCATCATCTTCATCTCCTGATACAACCATTTGGGGTTCTTCCATATTAAAAGCTTGCTCAATCTCAGGCTTTTTGTCCCATACTTCTTTGAAGAAAGGGGTGTAAAATGCAGCTATGCGATATAAACAGAGTAAGAAAAAATGATTTATGAAATTACAAAACTATTTCATGCAAATCTTGGTACTAGATTTACATACACTTACTTTTATGTTGAGAATTTGATGTAGATGTCAAAAAATGTGCTCCAAGTCTATCAGCAGTTGCATTTCCTTCAGTTATTAACTGATGACTTATATCACAGTTAAAAAATGCATTGGCACCACCACTATCAGTAACTGCCATTATCTGAATTGGCAGATTTGGTATATTGAATGAAAAAGCACTAAAACATGTAATATATATTAATAATATTACCACAATATTATTAATTGATCATATATCTCTGTATCATTTATCACTTACTTCAGAGTTGCTAATGAAGCTTTTCTTTTTGCTGAATATAATAATATAAAACCATGTACCAATTCCTCTCTGAATGCATTAGCTCCATGAAATGATGAAATTATAACTTCTACTTTGCGTTTTGAATCCCCTAAAAATGTCTCCAAAATTATACTTCGCTCACCAGATAAAAAACAACATTGGTGTGAAAACAGTGGACCAAGAATATTTTCCACGGCATACGGATCGGCACAGAACA